CCCGCTGGGTTTCAGCCTTTCAGCTCCGGGGGGCGCGGGGGGGAGGAGGGGGGGGGGGCACCCGCAGCAACCGCAGCGTTTCGGCCGGGTCAAACTTTGCGGCAAAGTGACCCGAGCCCCGGCCCCGCGCGGCTCCGACCGCAGCCCCGCAGCCACACCGCGCTCCGGAGCGCAGCGCAGCGGTTCTCCCTGCCCCGCACCGCCCGCCCTGCAGCGCTCAGCCCCATCCCTCCCCCTGCATTTCGCTTTTAAACTGCAGCTGTTGAAGCTAAACCTCCTTTGCAGAAACAGCATTTCCTCCCACGTGGCCGTGAATTGTGGGTAATGTAGTTTTTCTATAAATAAAGGGTAGGGGCTTTTCCCTTCTGCTTCTTCTTCCTTTTTTTCTTCTTTTTTTCTTTCTTGCCTCCTTCCCTCCTTCCTCCCTTCTTTTGTCCCCTCCTTCCCTCCCTCTTTCCTTTCTTTCCTTCCCTCCTTCTCTCCTTCCCTTTCCCCCTCCTTCCTCCCTCCCTCCTTCCCTCTCTCCTTCCCTCCTGCCTTCCACCCTTCCTCCCTTCCTTCCTTCCCTCCTTTTTTTTCTTAACTTAGATGCAGTGTATTTTCTCACAGCGTTGCAGGTGAAGGTTTTTCTCTCAGTTGCTCGATTCACTAAAGGGATGCTCTCACTTGCCAAACCTGCAGCCCTGGTTCAAGCAATGGGAACACAAAGCTGCAGCTGGAATCAGGCAATGGGGAGAGCCAGAGGCTGCAGTGCTCTGGGTACTGCGCATAGCTCTAGGGGTCAGTGCCACCCAGCAGAGCTCAGCACCAGGTGTGCACACGTTGGGCAATAGCTGCTGTGTGCTGAGCATTGCATACCCACCTTGATGCTCTCCTAAAGGGGAAACCCCCTGCACTGAGAGCTAAGAATGATTTTGGTAGCTCCGCTCGCAGCGCAGCACGGCTGCTTGGAGCTGAGGAAACTTCTGTTACTCCTTCGTGCCCCACGCTCACTGCAAACTCAGCACCTTGCAACAGCAAACTCAGCATTTTCCAATATCCGTGCACTTCTTGTCTGCCCTCCAGCAAAGATGGGAGCCACGAGGTGCTTCTGGCGAGGGAATGCCACGGGCAGGGCAGACTCCTTCTCAGTGCCCCTGCTGGCTCCAAGGTCCTGGGGGGCTCCTGCCCACGTGTGCCTGGGAGCTCTGCTCCATCCCCATACACCTTGCAGCTGGGTGCTGCCCTTCCCAGCAGGGCATGGGTAGGGTGTGCACCGGAGACCTTTGTGCCAATGGTGTGGCAGGGAGTGGAATTATTGCAATGTATTGTTATGGTTTTCTTCCTATGTTTCTCCAAACATTGGCTAAATATTTACCTGCTTGAAACTTCTCAGGATGTCTGCGAAGGGTGCTGTTATCAGCCCTGAAACAGAGGGAAAAACTAAGAATGAGTCCAGGAGGTACAGGAAAGAATGAAATGAGCATCTCCCAATGAAAAATCCAGTTTCTTCAGCAACCTCCAGAAGGTGCTGAAATACTTTGGCATTTTCCAAGACTCTTTCACACCTTTCAAACAAGCTTGTCACAGTTTCTCGGAGCATTATGAATTTGGTGAAGCTGCATGTTCTGAGATCCCAGCTCCTCTCTAGTTTCACCCATGCTTTGCTTCAACTTGGCATTCTCCAGTGTTCTGGTCGACGAGGAAATGGCATTATCTCACTCTAATTAAATCAGCTTTTCATCTTCAGCTGGAGTTTGCCTTGGTGTTGGCCACGTCTGCCTCCATTGCTCCAGTCAGTGTGATTAAATCACTGTGCTCTCCACCAAGCATCATGCAGAGTGGTTGCTGTGCCTCGCTGGTGGAATTGGTTTTTGAGGCCATGAACCAGCTGGTGATGCTGGGGGTTGCTTTTCTTCCACTGTGTGCTCGATGCTCCATCCATCACTGCCCTGCAGTCCCATCAGCCTCGTGCTTTCCAGGCGTGCTGAAAGGCAGAGTTTCCTCTTTCCTATGAAGGAGAACAGCCCCACTGATGGGACACTGCTGCTCTGCTCTCACCATGAGCCGTGTGTGCTTCCTTCCCAGAATGTCACATTCTGGCCCCAGTGTGTGCCATGCAGAGCAAAGCCCCACGTCCACAAACGTGTCAGAGGACAGACAGGCACCAGATGAAAGCAGCTCCCCGTGCTTGCAGGGTATTTTTTCCCAGTGACATCTCCCGAGGAACGTGCTCAGTAATAGCTCAGCATCCCCAGCAGGGGAGGGGACAAGAGGTGACGAGCCAAGCTGCTCTATTTCTGCAGGTTCCTGGCCACCATCACATTAACTCTTTGCACACAGATGCTTGCAGGGAGCCTTGCACCACAGCAGCCCTGCAGCAGGTGGCATCGAGGTGTGCTCATGGGCTGCCTCAGCCCCAACAGAAATTTCTCAGTTGGAAGGAGCTGCACTGATGGGTTGGGAAGGAGGGGAAGAGCTCTTCCCGCAGCCCACAGGCACTGTCACATGCTCGAGATAGGCTCCTGGAGGATGTGATTCAGAAATAAGTTGATGTGTGTTATTTTCCTTTGATTCATAAGCAAAACCCAAGAGGGAGTGAGGGCTCCAGCATGGATTTGCTGGCCCAGCATGGCAGTGTGGGTGTCAGATGGGCACAGACCGGGTGTGCAGCTCAGTTTGTGGATCTGGAGAACCACAGCCAACAAGCACAAAGTTCTGCTTGCTGCCTCACGAAGCCAAGAACCACCTTTAATTTAGCACTCAAGCTCTCCTGTACGCTTTGGATAAGGCTTTTAAAGAGACGTGGGTGCTATTTCATAGTGTTACCTGTACTAACATTGCCCTTTATAACTCCTCATTCCTATGGGTAAGCAGCACCGGATCCAGGAGATGTACCCGTTTTGCTGCTTGGTGCCACGCTCACCCTCCCCACCTCCCTCTGCAGGACCCCAGGGCTGCAGTGCTGCTGTGCTGGGGCTGATGCCACCACTGCTGTGTGCAGCTCAGGGACGGGCACTGCTGTCACCTGCTCTGAGCGCGGGGTCTGCGATGCGATGCGGGATGACACGGCAGAAAGACGTGCTGTATTTAGGGCACGCTCAGCGCCGGGGGCAGGGGGATGGGAATTCATTAGCAGTGCAGTGTCTCTTTTAATCAGAAGGCAGGTGCTGCTCGGCTGGGGCTGGAGGCAGGGCAGCCATGGATGCCATGCAGGGGCATGTGCTGAGCCAGGGGAGGGGCTGGGGGTGTTTGCAAGGCGTTCGCATCAGGGAGAGGGAAATGTTATTGAGGGTGCCCCAGTGGGGAGGAGACACAGAACAGAGCAGGCCAGGAGGGATCCAGGTTGTGACCTTTGCAGGGAAGTCAGTGAGTGATGCCCAGTTTGGAGGCTGCACCGACTGCCACGGGAGCACTGTGATCACTCCCAGCACTGATGCTCTCTTCTGGTGATGATGCTCTGATATTCAAATGTGAATTACACTACTACAAAAAAAAAAAAAAAAGAAAAAAAAAAGCCAAACTACATTTCCCAGTTTCCCTTGCAGCTCTAGGAAATAAGCTATTGGAAGATTTAAATAGACCAGGCCAGAAGCAACCAACCTTTGGCACAAAGCATTTCCCTCCTCTTCTTCCAATCTATTGGCTGTTTAACCTTTTTCCCTGGCACTGGAGTGGCTGCCAAGCCTGGCATTAATTTTCCTTCCAAGCTTGCTAGGCCCATGAAGTAAACAGCCATGTGCATTCCTTACTCTATATTTAACAGCTGCAGACTGTGCTGGGGGCAACTGCAACAGAGGGGAACCTTTGTAGCTTCCCAAATTCACGGCTCGTGAGGGTGGGCGTGGGGAAGATTTCTGCAGGGAGAAGAGGGATTTCTCTCCTTCCCGGTATTTACAAAGCAGTTCAGTTAGAGAAAGACTGCAATGCCAGCATCCCAGACTCGGTCCAGAGCGCGAGACAGGAACAATGTCCTCAACAGGGCTGAGTTCCTCTCCTTGAACCAGCCCCCGAAAGGGACCCAGGAGAGCAGGAGCTCGGGCAGGAAGCAGAGCGGCCAAACGGCGGCGGCCGGAACCCAGAACAGCAACCCCAAGGAGCGGAGGCAATCGCAGCAGCTGCCCGAAGAGGATTGCATGCAGCTCAACCCCTCCTTCAAGGGAATCGCCTTCAACTCCCTGCTGGCCATCGATATCTGCATGTCCAAGAGGCTGGGGGTGTGTGCCAACAGAGCCTCGTCCTGGGGGGGTGCCCGCTCCATGATCAACCTGCTGGGGATAACGGGGCACGGCATCCCATGGATCGCGGGCACGCTCATCTGCCTGGTGAAGAGCAGCACGCTGGCGGGCCAGGAGGTCCTCATGAACCTGCTGCTAGGTGAGTGGCAAAGCTCCATCCCAACAGGACTGCCCAGCCCCGGTCACAAGGGACGGTGGCATTGGGGCTCCTCCTCTGGCTGCTCCCACCGCGATGCGCTCTGTGACCTTTTGGGGGAACGCTGTGCTTATCGGCTGCCTTGGCAGCTTCGTGCCGGTCCTGGGTGCTGGGGGTGATGGATGTTGTCAGTAGGGGTGCAGGGATCCTGGTGGATGGCCGTAGCAATAGAGCAGCCCTGCACAAGGCTTGGGTTGGTCCAATAGGGCCAAGAAAGTGTCTGTGAGTGCAGGTGGACGCCAGCGGTCACGGTGCTGATTTATGGCCATCAGCCCTGGTGGTTTGTTGGGTTGGGGGAAACATGAATATTGTAAATTTGATATGTGGATCCGAGCCCTAGGAAAATAAACAACAAACATTTCCATCCCCTCTGCTCCTCCTTGAGCGGACTCAGGCTCCACAGCTCAGCAGCCGCCTGATGGAGTCCTGTCTCCTTTCTTACTGTGATTTGATCTCACATCCTTCATCCCAGGAGGGCCTTTCTTGCTGCTGTCCCCTTTTCTGTGTGCTCATTTCACCTGGCGGCCATGAGGACAGCTCTGATCTCTCTGGCTCCCCTGCTGGTCCTTTATTTGAGGTTGGTTATGTCAGAGCAGCCAATGTCCCAGCCATGACCAGGCCCCACATCTGGGTCCCACATCCAGACCCCCAGCCCACCCTGGCTGTCTCCCCCAAGGCCCTCCTCTACCCTCCCTTCTGCCTTTGGCCTGCAGCCTGGTGATAGTGGCTGTGATCACCCCAAGCTCTTCACCCTCTCCAAGAACAGGCGTGCAGGGCTCCCGCTTTCGATCAGCACAAGGGTTGAAGGCATTAGATTTAGCTTTTGTTTCTCAAGGAGCACCGTGAGGGGTCACAGCAAGGCTTTATTTCAGCAGTGTGTGCTGTATGGGTACTGCAGCACAGCTCAAGTTTTTTTCCAAAAGTTCACCCTTCAAGGAGGGCAAGGATTGTGCTGAACCGATTTGAAAAGCACAGTTGTAGCTTCCCTGTTCTCCCCTCTGCCTTTGAAGAGGCTGTCCTCGTGCTGTGACATCCAATGAAGGGACGCCATGGCGGGGAGGAAGCCAGAATAGCAGCGGCGTGATGCAGGGCCGCCAACGTCAGCACTTCTTCCCCAGGCTGCTCAGTGCTCCGGGTCAAACCCTCACTGAGAAAAGAAGCTCCGTCTGAAAGGGCCGCGAGGATGAAATAGGAGGCAGCCAACATCAGCCAGCACAATTTCCAGAGGTCTCTTGACCTGAGAGGCTCCGACTGTTCTGGAGCCTGAAAATCCACCTCTTTGAGTCCAAAATATTTGAGATCTTTATGAAGAGTTAATGCCACTTTGGGCTTTAAACCAAGGAAAGCCTTCTTGCTCTTCCATTGCCATTGAGGAGGCCAAATGCAAAGCCAGCTGCAGGCTGCGCTGAGGCTCGGAGCGCTGACCAAGGTGCCTGCAGCCTCAGCAGAGCAACCGCAGCAGGACTCGTGTTGCTCTGCACAACAGGATCTCTGCAAGCGTGGCCTTGGATTGATATCTGAGATTGCAGTCAGGAGCTCCTAATATCAGAGCGGCTACTGCTGTAATACCTGCATTGCTGATGGATGGAGTTCAGCAGGGGAGCTTGGGGCTCAGACCCACACCACCCACAGAATAGGAGGAAAGGAGGGGCGTGACGGTGCTGCTGCATCTGGCATCCTGGCTCCCTCTCACTGTTGTTTTCCTAGGATTGAAATCCAGCAGGTCAGTGGGGACGGGTCAAAGGGAGAAGGGAAGCTTGTTGGTGCTTTCCTGGGCTCCTGGAAGCAGGGAAGCTGGGGTTGTCTGCACCACCCCCCTCTTTACCTCCCCTGGCTCTCCACCCTTCCCCCTGGCTTGCTCAGGGTTTGATACATCAAGCAGAATTTCTGATGCAGTCTCTGGGCAGGGAGCCAGCCCATCATAGAGTACTTGTTTAGGATTTGCAATCAGGCTTTCAAGGCAAGGAGACAGGAGGCTGCTGAAATGGGACCGGGAACCTGGCAGGAGCACCACTGCAGATGGAGGGGGGGAACTGCGCTGGGGGATCTTGGTAGGATCTGTGCCAAGAAGTGTGGGAGCATTTAGGGTGAGGGGTTCTGACCTCTCTCCCTGGGACGCGCCATCCATCCTGACTGCTGATGTTGATTAGCAACCCCCAGCAATGTTTTCCCTCCGCGGTTGTCATCTGTGATGGAATTTATTGATTCTCCTCCTCATCGTAATCTTTTTTCCAGCAAATGCCAAACAGAGAAGCACGATCTCAGCCTGTTACTGAAAAGATGGAAGAAATCGGCTATGTGTGCCCACTGTCAAAAATCCTTCTGCCAGAATGTGCTTTCAGGAAGAGTGCCTTGGTACTGCCAGCCCTGGCTGTGAAAGAGTCAGGAGGAAAGTCTGCTCCCCCTCTGCCACACTGCAAAAATCAGAGCTTGGGAAAGCTCCCAGCTAAAGCTCACTTTATTTGTGTGCCACTGTTGGAATTTCAGGGCCAGTCAGGCTGTTCTCTGCAGTCACAAGAATCTTGTGGAAACTGAAATGCTTAGAAAACCATTTGAGCCTTGCAATTGGGTTTGCAGAAGGAAAACAGGTATAAAGCTCCCACTGTAATCACTGGAGCTTCTCTAGAACCAAGCAGGAGAGCTGTTAAACTCTTGAGGGAAAGCAGTGCCTTGGTGTCTGGTTCTGATCCATCTGGTGAGAACGTGGACCCGAATGGCAGTGATTCATTGGCTGCTAAGCCAGCAAAGAACATTTGGATCACTGATCTAACCCACGGCAAAATACAGGCGGTAGCACATCCCTTAATTTATTCCTGTTCAATTTGCTAAGGGAAAAAACCCAAACACTCAATCAGATGTAAGATTTTGAGTGGCACTGAACTCGTCAGAACCATTTCCGTATCACTGCAGGGGCAGGTGCTCTCACAAGTGCACTGCTCTTAGTTTGACTGTTCCCTGCCCTCCGTTGCCTCTGCACACCATTGTCTCTTCAGCTGAATAGCTCTTTTATCCAGCATCCCTTCTGCCTTTCAATATTTTGGATAGTGCTCAAGTCACCTCTTCACCTCCTATTCATTAAGCTCAACAGACCGATCTCATTAGACTGATTGTCTTTCCAGATCTGGGCACCTTCTTAGAGTAAAGGGGGATGGAATATGGTGATCTACCCAAAGTGGGGCTTTCGGTGAGGTTCACCTATTGTGTTTAGAGCAGAACTGGCACGCAGTGTGGTTAGCTGTGGTCCAGCTGCATGCCCTGGCTGCAGGAGGATTTCTGGTTAATGCTTGCACACAATCATGCTTGATTTGAAATACCTGGTTTCTACTCTGGTCGTGGCTTTGTGAAACAGGGATTCAAAGCTCTTGGCGTGCTGGAAAGAGGCAGAACCAGGCCTGGTGGTTGCTCTGGTCACAGTGATATGGGCCATAGCCCACATCCATCACCAGCTGGCTCCACATCCTGCTGCTGGCAGGTGGGTCAGCTCTTTGGTGCTGTCATCAAGCATTTATCACCATCAGGGAAAGTGGTGCTGCGGGCAGGCCATGGGAAGCAGCACAGCGGGCTGAGGATGGATTGGTTGCCACAGGAAGAGGAAAGGAGGGGAGGCCAGGACCATTTCACCAGGCCTGGAGGTCAGCAAGAATTCAGACCATGCTCTCCCCATGGATGCAGACCTAGCATTAGTCCAACTGGGAACAAAGCCATAACACTCTGAGGCACATCGCCCTGCAGAATGGTGACTTTATCCTGAGCCCTATATATATGTATTTATAAATATATACAGAGAGATCTCTGAAGTCCGTCACGCAGCCTCCACACAAGAGCAAACTGCCAGGAAAGTGGTAGTTTAGGGAGGAAATGAAGAAAGAAATGCCTTCTCCAGGTCCCTCAAAGACCCCTTGACCCTCCTCTAGCCATACAGAGGGACTCTGTGTGTGGAGCTGCTTTCCTTTGGAATCCGTGCAGTGAAGATTCAGATTGTACAGCCCGCTGCTGTTAAAGGTCACCGAGCAGATTAAATGCCCAGGCAGTACAGACAAACTCATCCCACTGAGCCTCGGGGCTCAGCAGCTCAGACCCAGCAGAGGACGGGGAGCTGTGCTGGCAGATGGATCAGTCCGGACGCAGCAGAGCTTGCTAAGCTGAGAGCCCCAGAGATGGTTTGGGGCCAGATGTGTCTATTTTTTCCCTTTCATTTTCCCACTGCGAGGCTGGGGATTTTCTGAGCTAGACAGGGCAGATAGCATTTCAGCAGACGAGAGCAGCCCAAGGGCTGGCACCCTGTGTGTGTTCCCTGCTCAGGAACGCGCCCAGCCCCCGTCCACTCCCTGCATCCATCTAGTCACAGGTCCAGCCTGACATTAAATATTCCTCTTCATCACATTCAGCTGCTCATCTGCCCATCAGTTTCCTGCCCTTGGTCCTTCGGTAGGTGCCATCCTTACCCCATACCCCTGGGTGAGCTCAGGCAGCTCCGAGCAGCAAACAGTGCCCAGCTCCCTGCCCCCTTCCCTTCCTCTCCTGCGTGCTTTATGGCAAGTGCATTCTGTTCACTGCAGGGCAGACGTGCAGCCTGCAGTGTCCCTGCGTGCAGAGGACAGTTGGTGACAGGCTGGAGCCCATTTTGCTGTGGCTGCAGCAGACACGGGGGATATTTCCATGGATCTATGCAAGGTCTCTTTTAGGTACAGGGTTGAGCAGCCCCCCGTGGTCAGCACTGAGGTCAGGTCCTGGCTGTTTGGTGCTGGAGATGATGTGAGCCCTGAATCTCCGTTTGAAGCCTTCAGGGAACTGTGAGAAGCTTAAAACCGAGCAGGCAAAATATTCCCCAGTCTGAATGCAGATTGAAAGAGAAAAGAAGTGCGAGGGTTGGTGAATGGGAAGAGGAGGAATAAACAAGGGAAATGAGTCATGCTCATGTCTGTCACTCCCAAGCAGCTTCCCATTGCCCCGCTGGGCAGGGACACGAGCTGCTGGCTGCTGTGGAGGGCTGAGCAGGGCTGAGCAGGGCTCTGCCCCATGGGGCATCCTTAGGATGGTGAGCAGCTTTGTCCCCAGCTCCTTGGCAGGAGCAGAAGCAGCGGGTGAGCAGCAGAAGGAGGGATGCTGAGTGGGCAGCAGGGCCCAGGCCAACTTCGGCGCAGAATGGTGATGGACTCAGTCACTGGACTTTTTAATTAATTGCACAGTGCTGATTTCTGCCATTCTTTCCCTTCTCCGTGGCCACTTAGCCCGGCATGCCTTTCACCCCGTGGCCAGAACCCTCTGCTGCTTGTTCAGCCAAAGCATAACCTTCCCCAAAACACCACGGCATCTGATTCAGTGCTTAACTGTGTCGTGCCATCTGTGCCTTTTGTCAGCTCCTGCACCTAATAGTGCCACGTTTGGGGAAGAAAATGCAAGAGAGGAGTTCACTTCCAGAGGAGTGGAGCTCATCTGGCTTCTCTGGAGCGAGGGTGATGATGCTCTGAAACCTGCATCTTACATTAGTGTCAACTAGCCAAGGCTGCAAATGGCTCATTTTCCAGGTCAGGGAGCCTCATGCCTGCAGGAGGTTTGGGAAGCTCCTTGCAGAAGCAGTAGGATAGGGCTTGTATGTAATAACTGAACAGCTCCAGTTCAAAGCAAATGTTGGGGGAATTCTAATTGTGGATGAAAAGGAACTATTTCCTAGGGAGGGTGACATGTGGGTTGTTAGAGTTAGGGGAGTACGGTTAGGTTGCAGTTGGACTCAATGAGCTTGAAGGTCTTTTCCAACCTGAGCAATTCTATGATTCTATGATGCTCTGTGCCTGAAGTTGGCTCATCTGGAAACAAAGCACCTTCAGAGCCAACGTGGGCCCTACATGTGGCCTCTGACATTGTGGGGCAGGGGTCAAATTGCTGCTGGCTTAGGGAGCATTGGGCACTGAGCTGCTGCCTGGCTTGTCCTGCCTTAAAACGGGCAAGGGATGGGCACAGTGCTCCCACTGAACCCAGTTTTTCCTCTGCCACGTGCCTGGGCACAGCAATCAGCCCCATGTGCACCACGTCAAGTAGATCAAGGCTGTGGGAACAGACGAAGCCAAAGGCTTTTTTGGCTTCCTCCTGTTTTTCTACCCCCCAGCACTGCACCCAGGCTAGTTTTCAGCTGTGATTTTGATACTTATGTAAACATCTCTGTAAACATCTCAGCTGGGTCCATTCAGTCCCCAGGGGATGCTGCCTGGCTCCAGCACAGGCAGGTGATGCCCGTGGGCAGCAAGAACAGCCCTTCACCCTGCTGTCACTGCAGCTTGGGCTGGGACAGAAGGGACCTGGCAGGGACAGGACATCAGCTGCATCAGCTTCCCTTTGGGGAGAGGGCTGCAGTTGGTTTGGTTTTGCTAAGGCAGTGCTATGGGTTCGTCCTTGTGCTCTGCCAGTGCAGGTTTTGCCTCTCTGCTCCTAATGGGCTCCTAACATGTGGCAGTAGGAGCGAGGCAGATAATTGTTTTCCTTCTCTTATTAATAGATATAAAATGTCTGCCCAGGGGGCTTGCTTTCAGCTCATTGCTGTGCATCTGATGCCAGATGTTGGCTATTTACTTTACCAAGGTGATCTCTGATGCTGGAATTGTCGCAGATGGGCAGGGCTCGCTTGTTGGCTTTGTGCTGTAAGGAAGTTTTGGATGTTAACAGTGCTTTCTGTGATCGGATGGGCTTGCAGTGCTTCTCTTAAAACAGGCTAAAGAGAAAATTCTGGATCTTAAGGAGAAAAAAAAAAATGGGAGAAGTAATGGGCAAGATCAAACCCTTCCTTCGGTGTCTTTGCTGCTTTCAACTCAATGCTGCCTGTATGTGCGTGGAGGAAAGGGCTTAAAACTACGGTGCCTGCTCCTCTAATCTCACCTCTCTGCCCTCTTCACTGCACGTCCAACAGCCCCAAGTGTCTGTCTGTCTGCTCAGTCAGTCCCCCCTACTTCCCTCCTGTGGTTTTGTCTCCTCCAACCTCCACTCCTCTCGGCCTGAAGGCTGTGTGTGTGTGTTGCAGATGGATGGGTGCTGGTTGCACCCCCAGCTGGGGCTGGGCAGGCTGCTGAGGCTGCTTCCTCATCATGAAGGGAACAGAAAGCGTAGGGGGAAGTACAGAAAAACACCCAATGGAGCACACTTGGGTTTGGTTCTTATTTTTTTACTTTTAACAGCAAATTAACCCTCCTAGTTCTGATGCTAGCATGCCTTCAGATCAAGAAACGCAAGTGAATGAGGCTTTCTGCTTTCTGGTCACTTTGATGAATATTTGACCTAGCAGTGCTGAAGGTCCATTTTATTCATCCCCTGGATGAAAGGATTATTAAAGCACCTCTGCTCCAAGTGCCTCCATGCGCACACCTCACTCTCTGGGCTGCCCTGGTATCACATTTGTCTGGGAAGAAAAAGCAGGAGTTTGGCTGGGAAGTAGAAATGCCAGGAGCATTGGCTGGTGCTAGAGGGATGGAAGGAAGGGAAAGAGGATAAAGTACAGATGGGTTTTGTTCCAGAGCAGTTTGAAAGGTCATTTGGTGCTGAGGGTGCTCTGTGTTTGTGTTTCTACGCTGAGCGGCGGTGATCACGGTGCTCAGCTGAGAGGTCAGCTGCCAGCTGGGTGACCTGCAGCTGATGGGCTGAAACTGAACCTGAGCCTCGCTTTAAGGACAGCACTGACCTTTGTGTGCTCAGCATTGCAAACTGCCCTTGACTTCTGCTTCTGTCTCATTTTGCAGCCCTGCTGTTGGACATCATGATCGTGGCCGGGTTGCAGAAGTTGGCCAAGCGCAAGGGTCCGTATGACATCAGCCCCGGGCTCTTGGACTACCTGACCATGGATACCTACGCGTTCCCAGCCGGGCACGCCAGCCGTGCCGCCATGCTCTCCAAATTCCTACTCAACCACCTGGTCCTGGCCATCCCACTCCGCATCCTGCTGGTGCTTTGGGCTTTCTGCGTTGGTTTTTCCCGCGTTATGATCGGTCGGCACCACATCACAGACGTGCTCTCCGGCTTTGTGTTCGGCTACCTGCAGTTTAGGCTGGTGGAGTTGATATGGATGTCTTCCAACACGTGTCAGATGTTGATATCCATCTGGTGAATGCGGGGGACTCGATGCCTTTCCACCCAAAACCAGCAGATACTTTGAGTCCCCCCTATTTTTTATTTTTTACCTATTGTTTGTTGGAAACACTTGTAACTTCCATGAGTAGTGGCGTTTTTTAATGTTGCTTCCCTGCCTGGAAAAGAAAATGCCTTGCAACGGATTGGGTTTTAGCACCCAATGTTGTTGGCCATGTTCTCAAACTGTATTTGGACAGCAATCAAATTAAGCTTCACAGGTGAGAGAAATGAGCTCCACCTGCCTCATCGGAATGGTTCACCTCTCACCTGGGTTTGTCCTCAGCGTGGGCAGCACCTTCCTGAGGACTCAGCTGTTAACTTTCTGGAGGCTAAAGGATTTTGGCCACAGTGCTTTTTCTTTTTGTAAGCCAAGCGACTGTGTCTTGTGCAGAGTCAGGACACTGCTGGGGTTTCACAGATAATAAATAATGGTGACAATCCTGCCCGGCTTGGTTCTTCTGCTGAGGGAAGGGACAGAGGGCAGATGGGGGTGGCTCTGAGGTTTGTGCTCACATGGGGTATCAGTGGGTTGGGGTTTTTTTGCCTGCTAAGTGGCAAATACTGCTGCCCATTTTCACCCTGGCAGGGGGCATTGTGTTGGATCGTGGTCAGTTCACAAAGCAGGTTGAGATGCACAGCTTTTTTTTCCTACCTCTTTGCAGCTATGAGTTTATACTTATGTCAAATAATGCTATAGATGGCAATGCCCAAGGTAAGTCCCCTGCAGGCCTGGATGCTTTCTGGTGCACCCAGCAGGGCAGCAGGAGGCCAGGACCAGGCTGCCAGCTCAGCCCAGACCTGATGGCAGAGGAAAATCCTGAACACATCTGTGTCTCACCTGGTGTGAAACAAGGAGGGCATTCCTGACCTTCCTCAACTGCAAGGCAGAGCTAATTGATATCTGCTTAGTGTTCTGATGGGCTGAATGTGATGTGAATGTGATGCACCAACACAGTGCTATTGTTTTCTATTATTGCTGCTGCTTTCCTCCTTGAAAACCAGCCGTTCCCTGCCCAGGTTACAGCCATGGCTAGGAAAACCCCCGTTCTGCACAAAACCTTCCCACTCTTGGTAGTTTCCCTCTCTTTAGAGCAGACTTCGTTGTTTGGTAGATGACAGAAGGCACTACTGGATGCAGCATTTTCCTGGCTGGATGTTTCTGCAAATGTGCCTGTCTTCCTGGCTGTCCCAGCTGAACAGGACCCCCCTGATTTGCAGTGCCAGGCAGCAATCAGATCCTGAGCTCCCACCCATCCCAGCGCCCTGGGGATCCCTATTCCTCCAGGTCAGGCTGGTGAGAATGAGGCAGCGTGCAGATAATGACTGTTGTAGGTTGCTAACATTTGTTGCTCTCTGATAATTAGTACAAAAAGATGATAAATGGGAAAATCTATCCCTGGCAGGTGACTCCAGCTGAGAAATCAGTACAGAGCCCTGCACTGAGGCTGGAGCCCACAAATGGGAATTGCAGAGGGCTCTGTGTCCTTTAAGGATCAGCCTCCTGCTGATCCAGAGGAAGGGTCCAGTTTAAAGTGCCCCAAGACCCTGATGCTCACTACATGTTGGGGAGGCACTGCAAGGGTGCATGGCTGATGCTGAGCCTGCCTGGTGTGCTTCTCCTTGCTGTGCCCAGGGTACCAGCATCGCTGCGGTGAAATCCAGCTTCTGTCACTATGGCAACGGTGAGGGATGGCAGGGAACTGCCATGGGGCTGCTCCCCCCCCCGCCGTGTCCTTATGTGTCCCCGGAGCTCAGGCAGACCAGCTTCCAAGCTGGGAATACCACTCATCCACCCTGCTGCACCCACAGGGACAGATCCTGAGCGTTTGGAAGCACAGAGGGTACGGAAGCAGGAAGAGAAGGGAAATCTCTCTGGGCTTTGAGCTTTGTGGATGCCATTTCTGCCTCCCAGCCCTGGGCTCCTGGCTGTCCCAAGGAGAGCAATGCAGCTGTTCCTAAAGCCAGGCTTCAGCCCCAGGAGTGCTTCTCTCTCCTTGGAATTATTTGGGGATGGGGATGCATCCAATGGTTGGAGTATCTTCAGGAATATGAGAGCTTTCCCTGAGCCCTCAGGCCCCCAAATTCAGTCATAAGAAATGTGGGAAGGAGCGACTCTTCCTGGGGTGCTGCAGCCAGGTGGATCTGGGCATCTTCTGCTTTCAGTTCACCTAACAGATGAATTAGGAGAAAGCCTCATGAAGGGAAACAGGGGCTCAGGGGGCTGCTGCCAGCATCGCGTGCACTCACACAGCTGGGAGAGCTGCAGCAATTGCATTCATGGGCAGCTCCTCCCTGCACCCTTATGCTGACGGTATTCAGCAGCAAAAAAGGGATTATAATTAGGAAAAAAAAATGTATGAGGTGCCTAGGAAAGTAGCAAATCTGGATTATATCTGTGGGCATATGTGGGAATCACAGCTGGGGTGTCCAGCTCCCGCTCCCCAACCGAAGCATGTGATTTATTTGTGCACTGGTGACCTCTGTGAGGAGTGGGATTGTGGTGGGACGTGTCCTTTCCACAGCAGAGCTGCCCAGAGCTGCTGGGGGCTCATCTCTGCAGCCCCAGAGTGACAGCAAGGCTGTGATGGGCAGGGAAGTGCAGGCACTGGCTGGCACCCAGGGAGAAGGTTTGTGGATTTGAGAGCTTGGGAGCATTAGGAAGGCTGTTACACAAGATCTCTCTGTGATAGAGGGGTTCTGGTTCTAGTTCATCCCTTTTATTCTCTCTGGAGTGACAAAGGGACCCACAGGCTTAACCAGCTTCCCTAGCACAGCCCCAGCAGCTGCAGGCTCTGAAGAATCTCCTGCTCAGAGACCTCTCCCCCAGTCAGGGAGATCAGCTGTGTGACTGACTCTCAGCTGAGTTTTTACATTGAAGTGATAACTGTGTCATTCCCAGGCTACAAATTGAATATATCGGGCAAAGCCTAAAGGCACAGGAGGGTTCTTTCCTTTCCCACAGGTATACGCTACAGAGCCAGGGAACTCGAAACAGATGTGGCTGTGGGTGAGCAGGTGACCAAAGGGTTTTTTTTCTCCAGCATCAACCCAAGGACCCCAGGTAATGTCCTCCAGGTAAGGGAACACTCGGTGTTTCCCAACCCTGTGCTCCATCCAGGGCTGGGCAGACACAAAGGGTGCTCTGCTCCCCGCCTTGCTGGGATCGGTGTCAGCAAAGATCCCCACGGTCATTCCCCAGGATGCGAGAGTCAAAGCGGATTAAGAGTCCCTCAGCTGATCACATTTATTTCATTATTTGAGTGAAATCCCTTGTAAATACCATCCCCCCTCCCCTTTTCTTTTTATAAAAATAGAAGGCAGGGAAGAATTGCAGATTTAGGGAAAGTAGGAGTTGTATAAAATCCTTAACCTCTTGCAGCCTGAGCAGCCACGAGGGGAGATGCTCCTCCAGCCCCCAAAGCAAGGTAAAGCCTTGGAGCTGAGCAGGGGAAGCCTCTCTGGCAGAGAGGAATTAGAGTTTGGCCGTGATGAAGTGCTAATTGCAGCATTGAAACAAATTGGCTCAGTGGGCGCTGGGTGAGTGGGATCGCACCTCAGTGCTGGGGGTGTGGTTATGTTCTGCACCGTGGTTACTCTGAGCTTCTGGGTGGATGAGGATGGATCTGGGGACCTGGGCATTGCACTGGGATCTCAACTGGTTTAAGGATTTCTAACAGCTAAATTTCTGGATTTATTTTTAGCCAAATTTCTGGCTTTCTCTCCCCCAAAACCACCCTGTCCTTGCTGAGTCCCTTTCCGCCCAGTATCATCTCAGGGCCCTATCTGCTTTCTCAGCTCCTTCCAGGACCAGCAGGCTTCTGCAGAGCTGAAAAGCCAGACCTGCAGAGATTAATTAAAATAAGAGCAATGAAGTTGGAGCTCAGAGCTGCAGTGATGGATGCTAGTGAAACACTTGCCCAGAGACCAACATGCTCCGTGGTGTTTTTCTCCAGCTGAAGAACTGTGCAATAGTTACACACGTGGTGTAAAGGAACCTGCTGCTGCCATTTGGGTGCAGGTGCCCTGTGAGGATGCTCTGTCCCCGTTGGGATTTGCACCTCCAAGCTGCCAGCGTTGGTTTGTCACGGTTTGCTTCCCTGGGCTGCAAGAGGGTTTTATTTGCTTTAAATCCTAAACCTAATGTGCATGAATAGCATGGCAATGCATAGCCTTCATGGCCAGCACATGACAGGGGTTATGTAAAACACAGATTAATGGGAAACAGTGAAATAGGGGAGCACACGGAGGGAATGACTTGGGAGGCAGGCAGGAGGGAGCTGGCAAAATTAAAGGAAATCCCCCAGCGTGGCTCAGCTGCCCTGTCCCAAGCAGATACATAGGTTTAGAAAGGCTGGGGGTTATCCAGAATCTTTTCCCACCCCTACTGCTCTGTGATAGGTGGAAGAGAGGTTCCCAAGGACATGAGGGATGCTACAGCAACCCCAAGCTTTGCAGCAGGTGCAAGGCAGGAGGGAAAACAGCAGGTTTGGGGCACTCTGCCTGTGGGAGCACAGGATCGATGGGAGGATGCCTGTGGCTGGGAGGAAGGCAGCTGGGCTCTGACCATCAATCACGTCCCGCTGGGAATGGCTCGTTGGGCTGCGGGATTCCTGGTGGCATTCCTTTTTTCAAAGCCTCCTGTAATAACAGTGGCCGTTGTTCCGTTTCCTTTCTAGATAACCTTTTTCCTGCTGCCCAACATGCTTATCTGCTGCAGACAGACTGGCAAGATGAACAGGAAAGCTGATACCTTATCTCTCCCTCTCAAGGAGCTTATTTAAGTGCTGGAATGCGTCGCAATGGTAAATGATTGTTACAATCCAAGTGAGGTATATGGACCTACCAACAGGCCCTGCTGGGAAGCAGCACCCATTTAGGAAGGAGACCCACAAGACTACAAGATTTCAAGGCTATTCCATCTTTTATCTACCTAAAGACATCTCCTAAAATGCAAAACATTTGCTTAAAACCAAAGGCATGTGCTCCACTCCAGCCTGCGGTTTAACACTGTTGGCTGCTCCCGGCAGCATGTGGTTCCTGTGTCTCTCTGATATGGCCTATCTCTGTTTGTCTGCTCAGCACTGAGCGAGGGGCACGGCGAGGGTTATTGCCATATCTGCATAGCACCACACTGTTCCTGCTTTCCCTTCCATCCAGGCTCAGCGCAGGAAACGGTAAGATGCTAACACGTCCATAAAGGTAGATAGACTGGAGAACTATTGGGCTAATTGGAATGAGCTGGGCTTAGCTGCTCAGACAGCCCAACACAAAGGAATGAGACCGCTCCAGGGATGCAGAACACAGCAGAGCCTCAGCACTTCACTTCTTTCAGCCACTGCAACTGGCAGCAATAGCAATTGCAGGCACCGGGGGCTGAGCACTGTGACAGCAGAGGGGACAGGGAAAGCCCGTGCTGTCAGTGTGATGTCCCCAACAGCTGCTGCGGAGGGGTGTGATGGGGTATTTTGGTCCTGTCCTCGGTGGAAAAAGAGACGGTGATGCTGGGTGCCAGGAGCACTGCTGGGACAGGGTTCGGGGCTCAGGTTGCTCCTGCTGCTCCAGGCACACAGCAGCCTCTGGAGAAATCGCACCTTGGCAATGCACACAGCTGCCATGGGCTGCTGCATCGGAAAGTTAATCAGTTCCACATCACTGACCGCTTTTCCATTGCAAAGCAGAAGGAATTGCCATACAAGAGCAGAGCTCAGCTTGCCCACATTGCAGGGCTGAGGGCTTCAGCAGAAGCACAGGTGACATTGTGGTAGCCAGGATGAGACAAGGCACTTTCTGGGACATCTGACCTCCAATCTGCAGCTTTCATCCCCCACAAAACTCTTACAATTAGACAGAGCAATGTGCACGTCTGCAAGATCTTCCATGTTCTCCTTGTGCTTTGTAATGTCTCTGGCTCCATTCCTTTTGGTGGCAGCAGGACAGCAGCCCCATCACAGCTTATTTGGGGGCTGAAGAGAGGACCCCACAGGGAAGTAGGACTGCAGGCAAAGACCATGGTGCTCATTGGTCTCCCTACAATGTGATCCAGTTACATTGACAGGCAGTAGGACTCCAGTTGCCACTTCCTGCTGTAGTTCATGGGGCTGAGCAACGAGCTGGTGATCCAAACATGTCCCAGCAGCTGTGTGTCCCTCTCTTGGAGTGCCTTGGACCATCAGGATGGGGCTGGGCAGCCCTGCAGGCAGCACGACGCCTGAGGGCACCCGACATCAGCCCCCACCTGGCTTCCCAGTTGTCCCTGTCAGTGTAGAAAGTAGGAATTGGGGGGGAATGCATCTGAGCTGCTTGGTGCCTGCATCTTATGATCCTGAAACCTAAGAGCCCCCCCTGACTCAGCAGGTTATTAATAACCCCCTGGCCGTGCTCCTGCTGCAGTGCCTGTCAGTCCTGGCATCGCCTGTCTGCTCCGTGGCCAGGCAAGATGTGTGCCCTGGGCAAGGTCAGGGGCTCCTTCCCACCCCATCCCTACCCACAGGGGTGGGCAGAAGGTGTGTGAGGGCTCTGGGCAGCCCCTGAGGCCATCCACACCTCCTGCCAGCACAGGAGAAGCTCCTGGTGCTGCTGAAATCAGCCTCATTGCGCCTCTGTCCCAGGACCCCTGTTTTCTTTTACCTAAAACCAGGCCAGTGCAGGCTGCAAGGGAGGTGAATTGGGTTTCTTAGACCAGAGCATCCTGCTTGCCTATCCAGGTTTGGGATACACTGGGGTCCCCACACTACTGCAGATTCCAGCTGTACTTGGTCCCTATGGCCAATTGGGTGTGCTGGACTTTGCATCTCTGCTGGACTGTTTGCCAGGGTTGTGAAGCAGAGGAAGCACAGGGGCCCTTAGGGGCCCTGCAGGTGGGTATGAGACCCCAGGGGAAAGAATGGTACAGTGATACCCCAGTGATGATACAGCCCAGGTTTGGGCTATTCCAGCTGGAAAGTGAGCCAGGCAGTGATTCCCATGCCTAGTGCTCATTAGCCAGATTAATTAGTACTCCCTGGGCAGGTTTTACTTAGCCAAGTGCTGTCTTCAGGCCTGAAGCAGCCCTGGCTGCAGCTGGAGCATCACTTCCTTTACCTTTTCTCTTCTTTCCCTCCTACTCAGCTCTTGGACCATTGCAGCTGCTGGGATCTTAATCTGTAACACTCTGATGGAATCCCTGAGGTTTTTGCTCGTCACCATAATTTTTTGGAATACTATTCCTGGCACTAGGAACAGCATCCCAAACTGCTCTGATCTCCCCCTGGTTAGGCTGTATTCTTCCTGGCCCAGTGGCTCATGGCAGCCTTAGAGGAGCTCCCAGAGTCCCGCTGGGAGGAGCAGCTCCATCCATGGCTTATCCTCCTCCTGGCTTCATCCCTGCCCCCTATCCCTGACCCTTCTTTGCTCTTCTCTTGAGCCCAGTGTACAAATGACTCCCTGTCCTTGATGGGGACCAGAACTGGAGAAGGTGACAGCACAAATTTCCCCACCAACCCTTTCCCTCCTTTCCCTGCTGCTCTTTCATCCCTCCCTCCTCCTTCATTTCATTTAATCTTTAAGATCTCATTCAACCTAAGCCGTTCTATGATTTTCACCCTCTCGGGACTCTCCCTCTCCTTCCCCATCCCCTCCAGCTTCCTCAGCCCCATTCCCACCGCCTCGCGTCTCCTCGGCCCAAGGACGAGCCGTGGGCTCGCAGGAGACGGGTTTGTCGCTCCCCCTAGTGGGGATGCGGCAGGATGTCGCCGGGCTGGGGGGACGAGGGAAGGGTCCCGCGGGTGGGGTAACCCAGCGCTCGGTTCTGCCCCCACCGGCGTAATGCCCCACGTTCCATGCAGGAATCCCAAAGGATTCCCCGTCGGGAGGTCCCGGTCTCTCCGGGTCGGATCTTCATGGGTTGAGCTGCTTCTTTCCTGGCAGAGATGCTCGGCTCCCGCTGAAATATTTAGGAATCGTGTTAATAATTAAAGGATTAAAGGACAGACTGAACTCGCAGGGGATTTGGTGAGCTCTCATGAGGCAAAAGGGGCAAATGTAGTCAGGAGAAAAATGGTTTGCTAAAGTGTAGTGGCATTTCATAAATCCTCCATGGTAAAAAAGAAATGCTGCAGCTCTGGAGGTGTTCCAAACAATGACCTTTTCCTGGAGGTGAATCCCACAGCCTCTCTTAATCACAGGTTATCATTTCAGCCTCTGTTAATCACAAGTTATCACTTCAGCCTTTGCTTGTGCTGGATGCACACGCTGACCAGGCTGTGCTGATCCCATCTCACATCAGAGCTGTGCTTTCAGAGCCTGCTTGCTTACAGCATTTCTAACAAAATCACTCATTCTCATTAGCTTCATCACGTTCAGAGGCAGCTGTTAGTTTCCTTTGGCAGAGGGAAGTGAGATATTTTTGAGCTGTGAAAGAACAGCTGTCTTGCAGCACATGGAGCAGGGGGCTTGGATGGCTGTGATGGAAAATTGGAGCTGTGAACCCAAAAGCCTCCCTGAACTCGTATTCCTACCACATCTGTAGTCATTTGTAGGGTTTGAAGGTAGGCAACAAAACGATGTGTGAGTTTAAGTCTCAACTGAGTGTTAGGCATTGCAAATCACAGAACATCCCAAGTTGGAAGGGACCCATATGGATTGTCAAGTCCAACTCTTCAAAATACTTTTGTTAAACTGGGGGCAACTGGATTTTCATCTGTCCATTTGCTCAATTTCTGGGAGGTTTGAACCTCTTTGTCCATGCGGGTCTGGTGGCTAACTCCAGCCTGAAATATTGGGCTGTTTGTCCTCAGAGTTGGTTGTGGTTTTAATGACTGAAGTGAATGAAATAGCATTTTCTACAGTGGATGGGGGGGGGGGGGGGGGGGGGGGGGGGTTGTTGTTAAAGCATCCGCATTGGTCCTCCAGAGGTTTGACTCTAGTGTTGCTTGGGACAATTGCTGATCTTCAGTTTAGAGCAAAATAAAGCCCATATGTTTACCTAATCCAGTGGCCAGCTTATGAATTTTTGTAGAAGTCAGACAAGTTGGTCTAATGCAGTCACATGTTGCCTTTCTCAGAAATATTTCTTGCACTTTGAGATGTGCTCTTTAGGATCCTATGCCAAATAATTGGATTCTGATATTTTCTCCCTTCTCCCAACCCTTTAATAAAGGGAGATTTGGCAGATATTTTTTACGCAACCATGGCTGTGGGAAGGATTCCCAGTGGATGTAGTAAAAAGGAGCTTCAGCTTTTAGGTCTGGATGAAGAACAGCCTTGTTAGCCTCTGAACAGCACAGCTGAAGGAGCCAGGAGGAGCAGAAACTGTAGCTTTGTTTTGCAGTCACATCCAGGGAGAAGCTGAAGTGATGGCTGATGAAGTGCCTCCAAAATACGTGCAGTATCAGGCAACTGGTGTTTGGTTCTCATTGCAGGCAATGCTCAGCACTAAAGGCAGCTGAAAGCAATCCACTTCTCCTTGGAAGAATTGTTTCTTCCTTTTAATCAGCCTTGTTTTAAACGACTTTCTTTTTTAGTGCCTTCAGTTGTCATTTGGGTTTGTCCTTCGGGCAGCCAGTGTTCGCTCAGTAAGGATGGTGTAGGTCTGCAGACTTTAAAAGGACAAGCAATAGTCTGACAATTGGAAACAGTTCGATGGCATCTTGTTTGTATACAGAACCTGCCATTCCCAGGGGCCACAAAGGAATAAAGAAAAGGAACAGCCTTATTGGATCCAGCAGCTAGGAGGAGCAACAGCTGCTTGGATCTGCTCCTATATGGGAGAAGTAGGAAATAAACCAGCAAATCAGATGGGCTGAGATCCCCAGCCTCACTGGGACTGGAGTCAGTGGGTCCATCCTGCCCTGGCAGTGAGAATGGAATGAGAATAGGAATTGGATGAACTCAACTGATGTTGTGGAGGGGAAAAAAAAGAATGTACTCTACAAACCAGCTCTTAAAGCAGTGCTACTGGAATTGTGTTGCAAGACCCCAGGTACCTAATTAGCTGTACAGAGTCCCTCCCACAAGTTGGTGTTAATGAGCCCTGTGTTGCAATCATTGCTTTCCCTGAACATATTTAACCCAGTTTGGAGGAATAACCAAAATTCCTCTGTTTTCTTACTCTTCTCCCATTCCCTGCTGTTCATACTGTGAGCTTGGAGAGGTGAGAGGTTCCAGCTTCCTATCTCATTTGAACACTTTTTTTTTTTTCTTCTTAAAAACAGTTTAAAGAAACCATCTCCATTGATATTAAGTCTTAAATAAAAGGGGAAAAATAAATCTTTTATAACTGCAACTGAAGACACCCTTATTTTGTTTGACGCAGCATCCTAAGTGGGATTGCAGGGTCCTGCCTGAGCCACTCGTGTCTTCTCTCCTGCCTCATCTATTTGACAGTTTAACTCTACTCATGTTCTTCCTGACAGAGTTTGGATCCTAAGCCCTGCTCACTTAGTTGTAGGCCTGGATTTCCCTGTAGCAGTCTCAGATGAGCTGTTGAAGTCAGTGTAGGGATGAGGCATGGCTTGATTTAGACAACTGAATTTGAAATGGATTTTCATGCTTCAAGGCATAAAGCAGCCCCTATCTTATATGAGATTATAAAGCATATTCTTCTGTGGATAGGGCACTCCACAACTGCCCACCTTGTTTCTTCTGCAGCAGCTGACGTTGGCTGCTGTCTGAGGTGGATGAAAAATGAGAAGGACCACGATCTGGTCCCATGAGGCAAATGCTTGCTGTGTGTGCTCTAAACGGCCTCTGGATGGCGTGCAGAGCAGGACTGTTTTGCTTTTTCCAAAAGAACTGTGATGTTTTGTGAATGACTGTAAGGAGAGTAAGGGCCTGTTTTGTGCTGCAGGCTGCCATTTACAGCTGAGCAAAGTGATAGCAGAATGGCATAAGAGCA